TAAAATAAAAATAAGTTATATATTTTTTCTTATAAATAACAAAAATAATTAATTTTAATAAACAAAATAAAAAATTTATTCATTCATTTTTACAAAGTTTAAATTATATTATATTAGTTAAAAAATTGAAAATAATCTAAGAATTTATAAAATTAAATAAAGTTAAAGAATCTTTAATTTAACGATATTATAAAATTTTAAAATATATTAATACTTAATTATTAATTAAAAAATAAATTTTTTATTATCAATTTTTGGTAGCTATTAATTAATATTAATTTTAACTATTAAGTATTAATTATATTCACTAATTAATAATAATCTATTATTATTAATTTTTAGTTGATAATTAATTAATGTTAATAAATATTAATTAATACTAATTTAATTAGTAATTATTAATCATATTTGCTAATTAATTTCAAATAATAATTGATTAATATTAATTTTTAGTTAGTAATTAATTAATATTAATAATAATTAATTAGTATTATTAATTATATAATATAATATATAAATTATATAATTAAATTATAATTAGCAAATTATATATTATATATATAAATTATATAATTAAATTATAATTAGCAAATTATATATTATATATAAATATAAATATTAATATATATTTAAATATATATTTTTACATTTACACATTCTTTCATATTTTTTTATATCTAATTAATTTTTATATTTAGAATATAAAACTATTTATAAAAAATTTATTTTTTCTTCTTTCTTGATCAAATTTAAAAACTATATAAAATATTTTATTAATACTCTCTATTAATATATAGTAATGATTATAAGTATCTGAATGCTCCTAATTTTTTATAGATCATACGTATTATTCTAAAAATTTCTGAAAACAAAGAATAACATAAATACTAATTACCTACTTCTCTTAAAGTTAGTAAAACTTCTATATCAAGTATTTTATATTCATTAAAATTTTATATTACAAATTCCAAAATATATATCTCAATATCTAATAATTTAATTATTAATATCCAGGATTGAATTTGAACAAAAATAATATCATTTAATTTGTCTAGTCAAAATGAATCAAATGATATTATTTTATTCAAATCTGATTACTAAATGTCAAGATATTATATTAAATTCATTTTTCTAATATTAACAAAAATAAAATGATTACTTTAGAATATAAATCTTAATATCTAGAGATTAGATTTGAGTAAAAATACTATTATTTGACTCAGTTAGTCAAAATTAATTGAATGATAGTATTTGTATTTGAATTTGATTATTAAGTGTCAAGATATTATGTCCTAAAGAAACTATTTCATTTTTTTAATGATCATTTTTATTTAAAATTGATTATTAAAAAATGAAACAGTCTCTTTAGAATGCAATATCTTGATATTCAGTAATAAAATTCGAATACAAATACTACCATTTGATTAATCTTGACTAACTGAGTCAAATAATAGTATTTTCACTCAAATTTGATTATTAGACATCAAGCTTTTACATTCTAAAGTAACTATTTTATTATATTTAAAGCATGAAAGTTTATAAATATAAAATACTCCCTAATGTAAAAATTATATTAATTTTAAAAGGAGTAAATAAATAGTATTTGTATTATTTTTTATTTTCAGAAATTTTTAGAATGATATATATGATTTATAAAAAGTTAGGAATATTCAAATACTTATAATTATTATTATATAACTATATTATTTAGTTTGCTTTAAACTTAAATAGTCTTACAATTTTTTATTTTTGTCAAATATATTATATTATTAAACAAAAGTAAATCTCTTTTAGTAACTTTGTAAACTTGAGTAATAGCAATATCTAATATTAATAATATATTAGTAAGTATATATATATTAGTAAGTATATTGAAAATTTTAAATATTTTTTCTTGTTATATCAATTTACTTTGTTTTTTCTTTATTTTTTGTATTTATTATTATATTAAAGAATATTTTTTTATAAAAGCTATTGATAAATATATAATATTTGTGCTTTCTAAAATAACAAAAGTAAATATTTCTATTTAATTATTATTATAGATTGATATATTTAATAGATTTGATTCTTTTTAGTTTTTAAAAATATTATTTTTTTAGAAATTGAAGATTTTAAAGATATATAATTTAATTGTTGAGTTTATATTTCTCACACTATATTAATTTAAAGTTAGTTAATTGTGTTTTTGAAAAAATAAACAAGAATCATAGAACTTTTAAAATAAAAACTATTTTAATTATAAAATTAATAAAACTTTTTTATATATTTTATTATATATATGTAATTTTAAACTAGGCGATATCTTTTTGAAGGATTCTGTACTATGTATACTGTGATAATAATTATTTATCAAACTTTTGAGTATTCAAATGTATATCAATAAATATATATTATATTATCAAAAATTAAAAAAAAAACATAGTAAAATTGATATTGTTTTTTTATATTAAAATTTGTTATTTTATTAATAAATATTATACTAAACTAAAGATGATAACCTATATTTTGATATATATTTTTTAAATATTCTAGAATTTTCTAGAATTTTTTATTCACTTATAAATATAAAAAAATTTTTTATAATTAAAATTGCAATTTTTCCAATTTTAATTATAAAAATTTTTTTCACATTTACAAGTGAACAAAAAATTATATATCAAAAATATAAATTATCATCTTTATTTTAGTATAAAAATAAAAAATATTTATTAATAAATAACAAATTTTAATATAAAGAAACAATGTCAATTTTACTATATTTTACTATTTTTTTTCAATTTCCGGTAATATATTGTAGGAGTGTGTATTAACATAGTGATAGCAAATGACAGTTTTGCAAAAGAACGTAATTAAACAATTAATGACAAATTCAATTTACCCTCCTGAAAAATCTGCTTTTCTGTGTTAATATAGAATTTTACTATTGCCATAAAAAATCATGCTTCAAATGATAATGGAGATATCATAAATTACGCATTTCGAAAGGCTTTATCTTTATTTCTCTATATACCTTGAGGGTATTTAATCAGCTACTAGTTATCATATTCATAACTAAATTATATGTCATATATGATTTTGAATATCCCTTTCAAAATCATACTACACACCCCTACCGGAGATTCCAAAAATGAATTTGACATCTAGTGATCCCATACAGATATCACCATTAGATTCGCCTCGACTATACGAATCTAATGGTGATATCTGTGTTCGAATGGGATCATTAGATGTCGAGATATCGGGTTCCAAAATAACAAATTCATAAATTGTAGGGGTGTGTATGTCATTTGGCCTTCATATTTCGTTTATACTTTTTGCTACCACCGTGCAAAAAAGAAGTCTTTTAACTTTGCTTTATACATCGCATATCTGTGAATTAATATTCTGAGTTACCTTTACTCTTTTTTTTACAATTCGAGGGATTTACCAGAACGATTAGATCTTGTTGATTTGAAAATGGGGAGAGCTACTGTCGTTCATGTACAGGGAGTTATGGTACAACTGCAGATTCTCTTCCACCCTATAATAGGGAATATGACGAAATAGTACAGGAAACGCGACAAATTTCGTATACATAAACACGGTCATAGTTTTTTAACACAGAAATAGCACGAATTTGACAGTCCATACTTATGGCGTGGTTTCGTGCTAAAAAACCGTACCAAAAACATATTTACGTATACAGAATTTGTCACGTTCCCGTGCTTGTACGTACCATGCCGTGCCATTCCATACCATTCCTTGAATTTTCTGTGGATCTTACGTGGTTGCTTTTTTTTATAAAGTAAATATTAACTAAGGATGCCAATTTTCTCTTTCTAAGACTATTAAGCAGAAAACATACATTTTCTTAAAGACACTGTCAAAACATCTAGGGTGCAGACATAACTACCGTAACTACGTCGTATGTAAGCTATGACATAAGTTGTGACTAGTTACGACATATATCGTAACTCTCTGAGATTCATATATGTATATCCCCCTGAAACAAATACATGTACGACTTATGATCATAAGTTTTGCAACAAACCTATACTATAGAAGGGAATACAGCAGAATCACATTGATTCAGACAGATTATAAATTCAGGGACAGATTACAATGATTTGCTGCAATATGAAGAAACACGATTGCCTGCAAGTTTTCTTTCTAATAATTCTGAAAGTAAATCACTAAAGTTTGTAACCACCTGCTGGCAACCTATTCTTGCAGCATGCTTTGCTTCAGTCAAAGCAGGAACCATAAAATACTTTGCTCAGGTCAAACCGATGAATAATACAGTCAACTTTCGATATACCGACGACGTGCAGATTCTATTGAATTTATACATGTATTGTTTACAATAGGATTTACACGTCGGTGTATCCAAGTACGTATGGTAAATACGTAACGGTAATGCACAGTGATGGACAAAATTGATGTTGGTGAAAATCGTCTGACTAAAAAAACTTGATCGATCGATCAAGTTTTTTTAGTCAGACGATATGATGCATTGCATTACATAACGATAACGATAATCAGTGTTATTCTCAAATATCTTGTCAGAACTTGAAAAATGATATCGTTATACGTACGTATAGAACAATTATGTTTGGCACATTCCGTTATGCTACGTGCAAGGACCTCTTTTTTATCGGAAAATTTCTATTTTGATATATGCTCACTTTGTTTACAGTTTTTGATTTGGTTACACAGTGCGAATCTCTAACTTTATATAGTATTGGTTGATTTTACGGATCCAGTTCGAATTCACGGCATCCCGCCATTTAAAATCTTAACATTAAATCGATATGCATTGCATAGACAAGTTCACATTGGTATTGGTGTTTACTTTTTCTAATATTATGATTTTAATTGTCAGGATTTTGAACTATCAGGATTTCGTGCATTCGGGATTTCGGTTGTTGAATTTATGGGTTGTCGGGATTGTGGTTGCTGGGATGTTGGACGCCTTCAGATTTTACGAATGTCAAAAAAAAAAAAAAAAAAAAAAACACATGTACTGTAAACAAATACTGTACCTTAGTGCAGTTAATATTTTATGGGGTAGAGTTTGATCTTAAGCATTTTGATTGGCTAGAAGAGTTATTTATCGGATAAAAGTTCTATTAATGGCGTTAACGTTAAGGTTTATCGGATGAATTTCTATTTTTTTTAATAAATGACGCCTGCACGTCACGTCTATATTATTCACAGAACTATATATATCCTATAAATGTCGCGAAAAAGTGACAGAAAGCAATAAATTGTTCTTCCTTTTGAATAATAATATTTCAAATTATTAATTAAAAGCAATGGCAATATTACTTGCGTATTCAGACTTCATGAAAGCTATTTTTTTAATAATTGGTGTTTACATTGCTAGATACTATTATCATTATTTTGCTCGTCTATCACCTTTACCAGGACCTCTTCCAATCCCATTATTTGGCAACCTTCTTCAGATGGGTATTAATCCAGCAAAGTTTCTAATGCGAATGCAAGCGAAATATGGCGATGTGTTTGAAGTATATTCCGGATCGGAACGAAATGTTTATCTTTGCCGCGCAGATCTTGTAGAAAAAATGATGCATCCTTCCAAAGATACTAATTATTTTAATAGAGTACGTTGATACCTTTTCTTTTACTTTCAAAATGCTCTATGAATTGCATTTCTTCTTTTTCTAACATGTCTTCTATGATTTACTTTATATTAGGGTTCTCAAAATGACGGACTAACCGAATTAGGTTTACAAAATCACGGAATTGCTTTCAACATGGATCTTGATTCCTGGCGTTTTCATCGAAGAGTTTTCATGCATGCGATGTCTTCGCAAAATTTCCTGCATAACTTTCTTTCTAATATTAAAGTTTTGTTTCAAGAAGCTGAAACCTATTGGGATAAACTTGGCGCCGGCGCACCAATCGATTTCGTAGAGTGGATGCCGCATTTCACTAATGACCTTATATTACAGTCTGCAACCGGAAAAAAATTTTACTCTTTAGCAATTTTCTATAATTCAATTGCACCAGATAATCATAAACAGCATGAGTTTGAAGGAACCTCCGTAAATGAACTAGAAGATTTCGTCGAACAAACAAATATATGGACATGGATACTACAATACTATTATTTTTTGCCATACGCAGTGAGACATTATCTTCCCGGATTCCGTCAATACACTAAGAAGTACATGAATGATATAAAAAATTTTGATAAGAACATCAACAAAATAATTGCAGATCGACGACATGAGATTGAAAACTCGCCAATCAAATCACCATTACAGCATGATATTCTTACAGAATTATTGATAACTAATACATTACGAGATGAAAATTTTAAATCTAGCCGTATGGAAGAAATGAGACCTTTAACAGATGATGAAATAAGAGCCAATCTTCTTGAAGTCATAATTGGTGGAATTCAAACAGTAAGTTTTAGAATAACTAATTATTCTCTGAAAAAATAAAAATGTAATTAATTGAAAAGATTTTATATATGTAGATTTCAACAACATTTTGCTATATAATTTATTACGTTTGCCAAAACCCAGTAGTAAAAACGCGTCTACTTCAAGAATTCAATCAGGTTATCGGCAATGAGCGTTCGAACATCACTTACGACACACTCGCAAAACTCGTTTATACCGATGCAGTAATTAAAGAAGTGCAAAGACTGTCAAATGTTGTCGCAATCCTTTTCAAAGAAATGTCAAATGACGACGAAATCGCTGGATATAAATTTAAAGCTGGCACATTGATATTTGCGCATATTGCTGGAATACATATACATAAAGCGCACTGGCAAGAACCTGAAAAATTTATTCCTGAACGTTTTTTGAAGGGAAAAGACACTATTGAAAAGAATAGTTTTATACCATTCGGTGGCGGCATAAGGTTCTGTCCGGGCAAACATGTAGCTGTGGCTGCACTTAAGATGTTGATGGTGTCTTTATTTGAAAAGTATGAGGTTGAACTAGTGGAGCCAAATAAACCGCTAAAAACCGTTTTTAAACTTGGTAATACCTGCCAGGAAATGAAAGTCTATCTTACATCTAAATCGATATCATAATTCAACAACTTTTAAAAATTTATTATACCAAATACGGATATATATATTATATATGATATATTACAAATAGTTTGAGATTGAATAAGGTTTTCATATCTATTCTTTTAAAGATACAGTATTTAGACAATTTTCTATTTAATAAATTTTAAACAATGTGTATCTATGGGATTTTTTCTATTCATGCATCAAGACTTGTAATTCATATACACTGCTTCTCAATCGGTCAACCAACCTTTAAACATAATAAATATCTAAGTTTTTGTTTAGTAGAGAAAACCGATTATATAGCGGCTAAATACATTGCCATAAATTGGATACTCTGGTTTGTCCTAAGTCATTAGAAACCTGTGACTTTATAAAGATTATAAAGCGAATGCTGTAACTAAATAAAGAATTTAAAGTACCATCGCGCAATTGTTTAAAAAAAATATATACTTTACGTAGCAAACAATGATTTTTGCGTTCGCATAGAAGCTTGCATGTGCACCTATTTCACATACGGATACCGATACGCAGTGTTTGTCACTCGGACCGGACCGGACCGTCTGCGTCCATGTCCGAAGATTGGACGGACGCCCGGACATGTAGTTATGTCACTTGGAAAATATGATTATTTGTCTATTGAAAAACAAGGTGTTCTACAACATATAACATATCCTGAAACTGCTTCGTTTAGTGTGTTGGCTGGAAAAAAGAGTACGTAAGTACAGTGGCGATCAAAAGTAATGCAACGCAAAATTGAAAATTGTTAAATCGCGATATCTTTACAAACTTGAGAACATCAAATTATAGTTGATAGATTTAATTAAGTATATGCAAATAACTTTAAATATAATAAATTCAACGTGGACTATTAAGCCAATTATGTCACAATCGCAACATTTATTCAATTTTTAGTGTTGCATTATATTTGCTCGTTTTTAATATAATTTGTATAACCCTCAATATAAAATAAAAACATTGTATTTTTTTTTATTTTTTAACTATACCCGATATACTACCATCTAGTATAACCACCATGTGCTTTTATTACGTCACAAATCCTTTCCGGCATAGAACGAATTAAATTCGTGCAATAATCCACATCAATTTCCTCCCAAACCAGCTGTATTTTTTCCATAAGTCTTCCGTATCAGAAATTGACACAGGAAGACAACGATCTATTTCATTCCATAAATGTTCGATTGGATTTAGATTGGGTGATTGTGCCAGCCAATCTAAAACAGCAATATTATTATCATCGAACCACTTTTTTGTCAAATTTGCTTTGGGATTGTTGGAAAATGAACTCATTGATAGCAAACCCCCGTGTTCTTCGATAGTATTCATAAGATCTTCGAGAATTTGTCGATATAATGCGCCATTCATGTTCCCATCAATCTTATAAAAGTTGTCAACGCCACGAAAGGTGAAACAACCCCATACCATTACTTTCCCACCACCGAATTTTACCGTAGGTTTAATGTGATGACTTTTCAATGACTCATCTGTTCTTTTCCAATAGTACCAGTACTGTTTTCCATCAGATCCAAAAACCTGAAACTTAGATTCATCGGACCAGATTATCTTTGACCAATCTTCATAGGTCCAGTTTTTGTATTATTTGACGAACTCAAGACGATGTTGTTGGTGTTCAGGCTTCAGGTATAGTTTTTTTTTGTTTTATTCTCGCTACTAAATCATTCTTTTTTAGTGTACGACGAATGGTATGCTCTGAAATTTGGATATTTTCAGTTTCGTGAAGACGATTTCAGACGGCAATGGAAGTGGAACAGTCACGGGATGTAATAAGACGGACTGTTGTTCTTTCTAACTGGTCATTTAATAACCGCAGATGACCAGACTTACTTATATCATTTAAAATGCGTTGTTCACGCCATTTTTTATTAATACGTGAGACAGTGGAAGGACTAATTTTACGAGTTCTTGCTATTTCTCTTGTTGTGTACCCATTTTGAAGTGAAACGATTATTTCGGCTCTTTCTTCAAGAGCCGTATGACGTTTTGATGTTTGTTTTTTATTGTAACATAGTTTAAGGAAAAAAAAGATAAACAAAACAATTGTTTATTTTGCGACTTCTGTATAGCATTACTTATCATTTGATTTCTTGAATAAAAGATCAAAAGAAATGCAACACTCATTGTGTGAGTTCGCATATTTATCTCGAAATTGTGTTTAATAATTGTAAATGTACATGTATCATATTTATTAATTTTACGTATTAAATTTTGTGTTGCATTACTTTTGATCGCCACTGTACTGTTATGATTTTTCAGTTTAATATTACTCGAACGTGATGCAATTCTAATATAACCCGAACGTGCCAGCTAGAAAAGAAAGTAAGTGCGATTTTTTGATTTTACGTTACCCACATTAACCCGAACCCGAACGCGTTCACGATAAATTATTACAGTGGCGATCATAAATAATCCAACAAAAAATTACAATCTGTTAAATCAAAATATTTCGTGCAACTTGAAAAATATCCTTTTTTTTTATGGTTTTTATTCGTTAATAGTGTTATTTTTAGATATCATGGGTTCATAAGTCCAATACTTTGCAAATAATATCTTTATTCGATTTGGCCTGTTGCATTACTTATATTCTTTTTTAACACAACGCGAATACAATATATTAAATTACATTTTTTATATTAGATTTTTTTTTGTTTTTGTTAATATTAGATAGGATTCTACCCCTACCATCTCATATAATCACCTCGCTCTTAATGACATTATGAACTTTTTTTCAGCATAGAGTGAATTAGGTTAGTACAAGTTTCAATATCAATTTCTAGCCAAACCTATTGGACTTATTCCATAGGTCATCCTTTTTCAAAATTTGCTCAGAGAGATGCTGAAGACAATAATTAATCTTATTTCACAAGTGTTCAATGGAGTTTAAATCTGAAATTCGAAAACCAATACAGTACCTTTGCCCTATTGTTTTTAAACTGTCATTTGTCAATTTGGCCATAGGTTTAGAATTGTTACCCTGTTTGAAAATAATCTATTTAATAGCAAACTTATGTTTCTTGATTGTATACATAAAATCTTAATGAAGTATTTGTCAATATACTTTGATATCCATGATCTCATTGATCTTACAAAAGCCACAAACACCACAAAATTCAAAGAAACATATATCATCATCAACTACTTTTCTAAACTTCATGATAGAGGTAATATAGAAATAATTTAACAGTTTATTTAAACATTTCCAATAATGCTACTTGGCATCAGACTCAATTTGACTCATCTAATTATGTTACCTTTGGCCAGTTTCTGATAGTCTAATTTTTGTACTTTTATGCAAATTTCAACAAATGTTTTTGATGTTCTTCGCTCAGATAAAGTTTTTTTTAGATTTTTGCTACTATTTCATTGTTTCAAAGTACCTAATGAATAGTAGATATTGAAATATTAATATTATCATCATATCATAAATATTTTGAGCTTCTGACGATGGGTGAATACCTACAGGAAATAATAAAGTTGCTGATTTTTTTTTATTGATTCATTTATGATGTGTATTCAACCCAGTTTTGCTACATCTTCAAAAAAGTATCTTTTATTTTATTTTTTATTAATACGGAAACTGTTGAGAGGTCAATATTTTTTGATTTTGCTATTTGTCTTGTAATGTTCTATTTTAAAGAGAAAGAAGAATTTGAGCTCTTTCTTCTCAAGTAGTATGGATATTTTCATCTTAACTTTTTGATTAAAAAGCTGTAATATAATAAAACATGAATAAATTTTTCTTTTATATGATATTTATATAGTATAACAATTATCATCTGATTTTTGCATAAATGATCATATGTAATACAATATGTGTTTTGTATTACTCATATATTTATCTGAAATTGAACATAATAATGATTACTAAGATTTTAATATATAAAAATGATACTATTAATGAATAAAACTATCAAAAAAAAGAGAATATCTTCAAAGTTATGCAAAATATTTCGATTTAACTGATTTTATTTTTTTGTTACATTATTATGATTATTATTGTAAATTTTTGCCAGTTCATCATTGACTTGAATATATAATAATTAAAAATTAATTACCAAAATCTAATAATAAAAGTTAATAAAAATTTAAATTATATATAATATAAAAAAATTAATTATATACACCTGCAAGACTTGTTGAGTTTATAATAAACTTGTTACTGTATAGTAGCTATTTCACTGAGTTAATGACTATTTTATAATATTTGTTATATATTATTTTTTGCTGATCATATAATTTTGCAATAAAGTATTTGTTATTCATATTCCTGAAATAAATAACCAACTGAATTTCTTAATTCATTATAGTTTTCAAATTAGTTAATTATTTGAATACTTTTTCGATGCATAGATTAAGTTGGTGAATAAAACATAATAAAAATACAATATTTTAGTTTGTGAGTCTTAATCTTTATCTAAATTAATAATCTAATATTAATAAAAATAAATCAGAATGAATAAAATTAAATAAAAATATCTGAATGCTGCATATAATTTAGTACTACTTGTCACAACTACAAAGATCTTTACTTTTATATTTTTTAGCTCATTAAATATAACTTTTATTTTTTCTATTACTTCAATATAAAATTCTCTTTCTATACTAATATTTATTATTTTTTACACATATAATTTTTCTTTTAAAGTAATAATCATTATCTCTAATAATTATTTATTTTTTATATTTATTCATTTATTAAATATTAAAGTAATACTAATTATATCTTCACAAAGTGCTTTATGCATTATTTTTAAAATAACCATCTTCAAAATTTGTTTGTCAAGAGTCCAATAATCTTAAAGTTTAAGATAAAAATTTAAGAATTCTTTTGTCTCAAACTTGTTAATTCAATATAAGACTTATTTATAAGATACTATTAATCTTATAATAATAACAGAATAATATAATTATCAAGTCTATAAGAAGAAGATCAAATAATAACTTTGCAAATCAAAGATCTTAAGAATGTGGATATAATA